TATAGCGTGTGTTTTTTTTTCTTTCCAAAAAACAAATATTATTATTATTATTGGTGTGTGCGTGCGTGTGTGTGTGTGTGTGTGTGTGTGTGTCTGTGTGTGTGAGATCAGAAACAATGTGGTGCAGTTTGTTCTCTCCTTCCACCTCCATGTGGGTCCTGGGAATTAATTCATGTCTCCAGGCTTGCATGGCAAATACCATTTCCCACAGAGTCATCTCACTAGTCCCAATTTCTGTTGTTGTTTTTTTTCTAGTGATAGTATTATGTCATCCACTCTCACCTCCGCAAAGGACTGAATGACGCTAGTTAGTTATACTTACATCATATAACATTATTATAAAAACCAGAAAATTGGGACTGGAGAGATGGCACAGCCGTTAAGAACACCAGTTGTTCTTGCAGAAGACCTGGGTTCAAATCCCAGCACCCACATGGCAGCTAACAACTGTCCAAAACTCCAGTCCCAGGGGATCCGACAGCCTCTTCTGACCTCTGCGGGCATTGCACGACATGAAGAAGCAGAAGGATCCCACTCATGAAGTACAGTTTTCCATGTAAGAAATCCAAGAACTTGGGGCTGAAGAGATATCTCAGCAGTTAAGAGCACATACTGCTCTTATGAAAGACCTGGGTTACATTCTCAACACCCACATAGCAACTCACAACCATCTATTACTCATGCTCCAGAGGACCCAGTGGACTCTTCTGGCCTCCATGGGCACCAGACATGCAGACATGCGTTTAGTACACATACATACAGGCAGGCACTCACACATACACATGATGTATATAATCAATAAATAAATCATTTTTAAAAGAATTAAAAGTAAATAAAAGAGATTCCAGTGAAGAAATCTGTCAAAAAATGATTTAGGTCTATCGGAAAGTGAGTTAAAATTAGGAACACCTGTGTGTGTATGTCTATAGCCAAGCTCAGGGAAAGTACCATTCCTGTACTTTACCACACACAGCAAGAAGCCATTGCTCTTGAAGTAAACCACCTCTGATGGGTGCCTTTGTCACCATGTAGCAGAACCTCAGTCCTGCTGCCAAATTCCTTATGGGTATCAGACCCATCACACCAAAGTGTTTCATGATAATCTCCATATGTGTTTCATTAACTATTATAGTAAATCCGACCTGCACTGCATAACTATGAAAAAGAGGCTGCTGGGGTAAATCCTTCACCAGGCAATGATCTAGATTGGGACTAAAATTGCCTAAAGCTACTTGATTTTTAATCCTTTGTTGCAGTGACTTTACAGCTTACTTCATAAGCAAAATATACCAGTGTTTCTAATAAAGTCTAAGCCGTATTTGGCTGAAGAAAGCATTCTATAGGGAAGTGAAGTGAAATGGGGTTGATTAGTAACATGACAAGTATGTTTAACATCACTTCATGTATAAGGCTGCAGAATGGAAAGCAAAGACAGCCATTGGTTCAATCCTTTGTTCCCTACCCATTTCCAACCACAGGAAGCTTTTCTTGGCTTCTAGGGTGGAGCTTAAGAAGCTGCTGGAGAGGAACACTCTCACTGGCAGGGCTCCTCTCTGTCCTTTCCCTTCAGGTCACCCTGATCCTGCGAGTAACAATACATCTTTCTGTCCCATATACTCGGGCCAGGGACTTCAGGTCCCTTAGTTTTGGTACTTCATTTCTGACTTTATCTCTTGATTAACTCAGAAAGAATAAAGATCATGAACAATGTTTTTTCTTCTTCTACATCTCAAGTTAGTTTTAGTAAATATCATGGCTATATTAGTGGCTGGAAGCACAATACTGATATATTAAAACCTATTTCTAGGGGCTGGAGAGATGGCTCAGCAGTTAAGAGCACTGACTGCTGAACTTCTAAACTTTTAGAAACTCAGATGAGTTAGACACAATTTTTTTAGTGGGAAACATAGAAGTGTTCCATATCCCCAAACATACAAAGATACAAAACCAAGGGAGTCCACCACAAAGGCCGGCTGCTATAGACTCTCCAGCAGCATGGGAGGTCACTGTGCCCCTGCCCCTACTTCCTTGTGGCTCAGCCCAGGGTCAGCATGTTTTCATTTGCTTTCTGTCTAGGCCCCAGAAGAGTTTTAAGCATATCTTGACTTGACCTTGGACTCAAGGACCAGAAGAGATCTGAACACAGGTCTCCTAGGAGGATCAGCATTCTAAGCTATTATTAGCATTTTTCTGAACACAGGTCTCCTAGGAGGATCAGCATTCTAAGCTATTATTAGCATTTTTCGTATTTTAGGAGTTCAACCAAACCTTATAAGCTAAGCCAGGAAACAAATTATTTAGACTAGGTATTCATTTGTTTCTACATTTGACAAATACTTATTGAATTCTATAAAGTCCACATACTATTACAAGCACTAAGGTACAGCAAAAAGAGTCCCAGACTGGGATGTGACAGAGTGTGTGCTTAGCATGTGCAGGACCCTAGGTTCCACTCGTCACGTGCAAAAACATAAAACAAAGTTTCTTCTTTCACAGCAAGTATATACTCATAGAGAGTCAGATAAGACAAAAAATACATATATAACATAATGTACAGAGCGGTGTTATATGACTCTGGGATACAACCCTGAGTTGGGGCCCAGCAGGAGATCCATCTGTATTCAAATTCAACTCTAGGGGCTGGAGAGATGGCTCAGCACATAAGAGGACTGGCTGTTCTTGCAGAGGACCCAGCTTGGATTCTCAGCACTCACATGGCAGCTAGCAACTATCTGTTAACTCCAGTTCCAGGGAAAATCTGACACCCTCTTTGACCTCTGCTGGCATTGCATGATAAGGGTGCACTAACATACATGCAGGCAATACATTCATACATATAAAATTAAAATAATAAATTAAATATTTTTTAAAAAGAACACTGACTGCTCTTGCAGATGACCTAGTTCAATTCCCAGCACCCACATGGCAGCTATGAACAGTCCTTAACTCCAGTTCCAGCAGAATCCGAAGCCCTCTTCTGACCTCCATGGCATTGCATGACACGGGTGCACTCACATACATGCAGGCAATATACTCATACACATAAAATAAAAAAAATAAAAATATATACGGTTTGTAGAAGTTGGTGACAACACAACTGGCCTTTATTCTTATACCGTGGAGCTGTGGGTGCCTGGTTTGGCTAATCTTGACTGTCTTTAGGACTGTAGGTCAGCTGATGTTGGCTTACTCCAAATCTGTCCCAAGTATTTTTATTCTGTGCAAACAGCTATCTGGGACATGCTCTTAACTGAACTTCTGGAACACAGGAGGATAAGCAGAGTTTCCAGGCACATTTCTGGTCTTTGCTGTGTCACCAAGATTCCTTTATCCTAATAAAGTCACATTTCAGCCCAAAGTTGTGGAAAAAATGTAACTAACGTGACGTTCAGGCAGGAGAAATACGGCCACAAATATATCAGCAGCTAATGAAAAGCCAAGGTCAAAACTTGAGTCTGGGCCCACATCCAGGGGATGTGCTGCACTTCCTGGTGAATCAGTTGCCACAGTCACGTCTCCTATTGTTGTCTACTACTAATAAATCTTAGTTATAGCACATACAGGTACATGAATCATCAATTTATGGTCTAGATGGAAAAATGATGACTCTACTTCTGTCAATACATTGGATAGAACAATTAGTTTAACTGAAAGTTAATTGCTCCCCTATTTCTCATCCCCCCCAACACAATCCAGAACAATTGTTGTGAATTTATTTAATAAGCTACCAACACAACATAAATGTGCTTTCATTTCACTGGACATTTGTGGACCTAATACAGGTATTCAAAGAACACATCTACACCAGAGAATGCAGTGAGAGTAAAGGATGTCAGCCCCACCCACAAACTAGTGTGGGAACCTACTGGCGAATTATAACCTGCTGCTTTCAGCAAGTGAACCAAGAGGTCACTAACAAGAATTTGAGTAGCTTTGAGTTTTCTGTTTTGAATACAGTTCATAGAAGTTACGAAGTGTGCATTCAAATCATGCATTTGAACTTATCTGACATAAGAACTTGGTGATTATAATATTTCAATATCCTCTTAGACCATTTAGGATTTCCCAAGCACTGAGTGTTAGAATCCAAGAAGCCAGGACTGGAGAAATGGCTCAGCAGTTAACAGCACTGCCTGCTCTTGCAGAAGACCTGGGTTCAATTCCCAGCACCGGCATAGTGGCTAACAACCATCCATAACTCCAGTTCCAGGGGATCTGACATCCTCTTCTGGCCTCCACGGGCATTGCATGACACAGGTGCATTTACAATCAGGCCGCATAAAATAAATTTAAAAAAAAAATTAAGAATCCAAGAACACTAAAATTCGAAACTCAGAACAATAAATGGAGGCAACAGCATGAGGGTATTGAAATGGGTGAAAAACCACTCAATAATTTTATCATATTTCTGTTGTGGTTTTAGATTTCAGATCAACTGAGGCCTCACTTGCACATGGCTGCCTATACAGTTTGTGGGCCAGGCTGTAGGCTGCATGTGTAGTTCTCATGTCAGAGGTCACATCCCTCATTCTGCCTCTTGTATCTTGGCTTCTAAAGCATGAAAACTTGCCTAAGTTCACACATCTAAAACTAGTCAGTTCTCTCCACACCCAGTGCCTCACTACTAAACTGAACTACCTCTTGGTATGTCTATCTGCCTCTGCACCAAGTAATTAACACTAGTAATAGATCCTTTAAAACAGAGAAAACTTGGCAGAGATCTGCATACACAGCAGGTACTCCACATGTGTTTGGTTAATGCTATATATAATTCTCAAGTTAAAATTTGTTTCTCATAGATGGACATAGTTCAGTAGCAGAGTCTCCCTTTCCTCTTCAAGCTATATTACAGGAACCAGGCGGTGCCCATGTGTTAATGTCATGAATCACTTTGGCTAATCTATGCTGCCTAGTTTTTCATCAACAATCTAGATGCTATTGTGAAGATACTATGTACCTTGATGTCAACATGATTAACATTTAATTCGGTCTCCTTTAAGGAAAGCAGATTAGGCTTCATAATGTGGCTGAAGGGCTTATGAGAAAACACTGAAGTCCAGCAAGGAAGAAAAACGTCCTGCCTCCACACTTCAGACTCAAGACTACAGTGTCAGCTCTTCCCTGGGTTTCCAAAATGCAGACCTAAGTCTGGTGAAGTAGCTCAGCGGGTAAGGGCACTTGCTGTGAAAGCCTGACGACCTGGGGTTCAATTTCCAGAACCGAAAAAAATGTGGTAGTAGAGAACTAATTTCAGAAAGTTGTCCTCTGACCTCCACAAGAGTGCTGTGGCGTGTGTACTCACATGTTCACACACAAGGATAACAAACTTAAAGTTTTAAATAAATAAATGCTGTCCTGGTCTACAAATTTTGAACAACTCTTACAACCAAAATTAGACAAACACATATATGTATCTACACATATGTATGTATGCCCAAGTATGTGTTCTATTGGTTCTGATACATATTCTGTTGTTATACAGTATGTGTGTGTGTGTGTTTATACATCCCATTGATTCTCCTTTTCTGGAGAAACTTAATATACCTAGCATAACTCTTCCACTAAGAACCACCAGCCAGTGTTCTTACAGAAAGCCATAGATTGAGTATAGGGTGAGTTCATCCTCCTTCTCATCATTGACTTCTCTGTCTCCCTACTCCCTGGACTACAGGGAAATGAGTATGAGATGCTTAATGGCCACCTGCATCATTCTAAAATCAAATCCAAGCACAGATGCTTCTGTTCTGCCTCTGCTAAATGCCCAAGACCCTTAACCACAAGTAGGACTAGATTTCTAGTCTCATTCAGTTGCTAATCAAATATAGGATTCAGAAACAGTTTTTTTAGAAAGGATTTTATGAAAACAGTGGTGTTCAAAGGCTCGAAATCCATTCAGCCTTCCTGGCCACATATGCTCATGATTCAGCCTTGGTAAAGGCAGAGGAGTGCAGCCTGACCTGGTGATGACCCGTTAGGCAGTCTCTTTTGGTGCAAACCGGCACTTAAGCAAATATGCGTTCTTGTTTTTTTCTAGTTCTCTTTGTTATTAAAGTGAAATCCAAGTTGGGTTTCATGTGTGACATCAATCAGCAAAGGGAATTTTTTTGTTATACATGAAAATGCAAGGGAATGCTTTTTATTACTATTCAAGCAGTTATTTCTTATCTGCATGACTAAAGAATGGAAGATCTAAACAGAAGCTGAATATTCGACTGGCCTCTGCTCCTTCACCCAGATGGAAGTTTCACAGGTGTGTTTGAAGTTTCGGGTCAAAGGCTGTCACTTTCAGAAACCAGTGGGTCTGCATTTTCCTTTGCTCTGCAAGTACTCTGATTACAGACATTTTTCCTGTTTTTATCTGATTACAAATAGCCAACTAAAGAAGCTAACTGTTTAGAAAAGGTGAAGATCTGATAATACATAAGAGACTCTGAGATACTCTGTTGACAATAACATAGTCAAGGACAACAGGGAAATCATTTCATACTATTAATCAGTAATCTAAGAGCATTGGCCTGTGTGCCTCTTAGCTAGCATCTATGAATTAATTGACGATTGAAAATGTGATAAAGGAATACTCTAGAATTTTATGGTAAAATACAAATGATTTCCATCATTACAGTTCACCTTTTGTAAAGATTAAACTTGACTTTTGGCATTGCAGTTGACTTTGTTTCAAAATGAATTATGCACTTGTTAAAATTCTACCTTATTTTGTTTTATATTTAAGACATTAAAGATTTAACCTTATATTTAATATTGGCATTACTTCTTTAGCTTTTAAATAAAGACTCCACCCCTTGTACATGTTGTACTTCCCCCTCTAAATCTGGTTTTACATTCCTGACTCATGGGGATTCCTGCCACCTGATAGCCATACAAATATAACTCCATATGAACCTTGGCCAGGTTCAGGAAAGAACCATGGAGGAAAAAAGAGAGCACAGTTCCACACGAAGAAAAAAAGCAGTCTTAAACAAATTACAATACCGTGTATTTACCACTTTAGAACTGATCTTTGGGTTAAGTACCTC